GCAGTCTGTCCCCAGACCTGCCCCGGTGTCCCTGTGCACCCTCATCCTCGTTTCCCCGTGACACCGGGCGCGTCACAGGGCTGCGGGACCCCCCACCTCCCCGGAGGGTCCCTCTCCAGCCCCAGGGTGGCTCAGGTACAGCCAGGGCAATCAACCTTGTATGAGGAACAAACAGTAGGACTAGAAGGTCTAAAATCAGCTTTATTTACAGCAGGAACCCCCCCCCGGCTGCTCCAGCAGCCTTTTGTCAGGAGTTACCTGCTCCAGGAATTAGAGGCCATCGATTCTTCCCAAAGGGAAGGAGCCTGGAGCTGCCACACACCAGGGAAGCAGGAAGAACCAGAGGAAGTCTCTGCCGCCTCCTTTCTCCTTGCTTTCCCTGCAGGATTTTTGCCAAATGTGGAAAAGAACACACCTAATCCAGCCAAGGTATGTTTGGTACAAGGGACAGCATTCCTTTTGCAGGCACCTTAGCTCCAGGACAAAGGAGTTCCCGATGGGAAGAGAGAGAAGGCAAAGGGAACACCCAGCCACCCATGATGAGGCAAAAGAGAGACTAAATCAGAGGAAGAGGAATGGCTGGGCCCTGGTTGTTATAGGGAGAGAGAGGCAAATAAGCAGAGACACAACCTAAGGCAAGGCAGGGTTCCTCTGGTACCTTCTAAATTCATAAAACAAATCAGCAAATCCATCCTGGACTCCCACTGTGGGGGAATTCCACCTCACCTCAACCTCTGCTTCATTGGCACAGCATCTCCCCAGAGTGCTCCAAAACCAGGGTGCCACAACAACCAAAATTAACTGGACTGAGGAAGATAAAGAGGGCCAAGCCAGGATTTAATCCAAGTTCTGCTCCTCTGCAGCTCTTCCCTGCAGCGACCTGAGAGTACCCAGGCCCAGATCCATCACTAATTCCATCCCAAAGCAGCACAGGTTTCCTTTCAGCCCAGGGACACCAAGGATAAGTTCTGCAAGTCCCAGGAAAACTGAGAGCGGCCACGCGGAATGTTAAGTCACACACTGGCACTCCCAAACCCCGTAAATCAGCATCCTAAACCCTACAGCTCCCGAAGTTCAGCTGGCTGACAAAACCTCAGAGTATGAACAAGTCCCTGGATTTGTGAGCCCCACCTCAGCAGTTCCCAGGCTCTGTGAGGGAGGTGACGGGGAAGTGGCCCTTGAGAACAGCCCGCGGCACACGAACGAGGCAGGAGGTCACAGCCCCAAATCCCTGTTAGACACGGGGATCCCTTTGGAGACAAATGTTCTTGCTTTGGAAGAGCCGTCTGGGCCCAGCCGGAGCGACACGAGGAGCTGGTGGGAGGAAGAGTCACTTGGAAGGAGGAGGTCTGGCCGGAGGCTCCTCCCGGGAAGGTGTGGACAGGCCTGTGGGTGCCGCGGGTCCGGCCTGTGGCGCCTGCCCGGCTCGGGGCCCTGTGACACCTGCCCAGCCCGGCTCAGGTGCCCGCCCTGGACACCAGGTAGTAGAGGATGAAGAAGATGAGGATGAGGGCCACGGACACGGCGCAGAGCAGCCGGCGGTTGTCCCGCCCGGAGCGCGCCATGGTGGAGAAGCGCTTCACGCTGCCCGTCAGCAGCCCCGTCACACTGAGGAAATCTGAGTCCTGTGGAGGGCAGAGACAGCCAAGGTGGAGGCATCGTAGAGTCGTGGAATATCCCGAGTTGGAGGGATTCCACAAGGGTCATCCAGTCCGACTCCTGGCCCTGCACAGGACACCTCAACAACTCGACCGTGTCCCTGAGCTCCGGCAGGTTTGTGGCTACAACCACTGCCCTGGGGAGCCTGTTCCAGTGCCCAGACACCCTCTGGGGGAAGAAGTTTACCCTAATACCCAACCTAATACAACTCCAGCCATTCCCTCGGGTCCTAGGATAAGCCCATCCTACTGTGCCACAGATGAAGGAATCCTTGAGGAATCTCCCACCTCCTGGCTAAAAACATTTGCACAGAAGCTGCACAGCAGCCACCTGTTTCCCTCAAGGTCCTTCCCTTCCAGTGCTCCGGGATCAGCACCGTTCCCACCTTTCTGGAGCTTCTGCTCACGTTGCTCCTGAAATGCCTCAAAACCTCTTGTGTAAGAGCAGCGCAGTTTGGTGCCCATTTAGGGCTTCTCCCTTAAGGGCTCTTGCCATCTCACCTTTCATCCCAATTCCCTGATTTGTTGGGAGTTGTGTGGCAGACCAGGACACTCAACAGCCTGTGAGACCCAGAGCATCACCTGTACTCCCTCTGAAGACACCAGTGTCCCACAAGGCCCACAGGGAGCCTGCTGGAGGTGCTGGAGTTCAGGAATTGGTTCATACAGCAGCACCGAACACCAAGGGAGAGCTGAGGAACAGCCCGGAGGCAGCTTTAATCCCAGCAAGGAGGGACCTCCACTGGCATTTCCCAGGTGTGCTGTCCCACATCAGCCCTTCAGGTGCCAGATACCAACCCCGGACAAGGTGATGCTGCACCTGCCAGCTATCCAACATTTACAGAGCAGTAAATCCGCTGGGAACGGGTTTAGTTACAATTTAGTTACAACTGCCTGGCATCCAGGACCGCAGGGATCTACCATAGTGTGCCAGCCTGAGCTGCCATCCCGGTTTCCCAGCAGCACAGAAAGCCCTGTGCCCCATTCCCCAGGTCCTTACCATGCCATCCAGGTAGCGGTTCTGTTCCTCAGCATCCTTGTCAATATCCAGAGCCAGCTGCAGAACAAGGGAGGGAACGGGCATTCAGGAGCTTGTCACGTACGGAGAACCTCTAAAATGAAAGTTATCAAAGCAACCTGCTGCTTTCCTGGCTCCCGCAGACACACAGGGGCTTGTCTGGGACAGGAACAAGGAAAATGATTCTCATTTCCCTGTAGGGTTGTTGAACTTTTCCACCTCTGCAGCACTGAAAGTAAAGCCTGACTGTCTAAATCTGTCAGGGTGTTTAATCCCTGGGACACAAGGGTAGGAATTCAGAGTCTGCCCTTCTACACTGTGAGTCACTGACTTCTTTCGTGGTTTCTACTATTTTTTAAATAATAATTTATAATAATGTTATAATTGTCACAACAATTTTATAATAATATAACAATAATTGTTAGAATAATTATAATGCTATAACAATTTTTATAACAATAGAAAACAGAGCTTAAATCTCTAAATCAAAGTACTTGATATTAAGAGCAAACCAGTTTTAAGATCATTTGCACAGAGACACAGGTATTTTCCAAAATTAATCTCCTTGCCTTTTTATTGTGAATTTTTTCCCAAGCAGGTGAGCTTGGCAACACCCCTCTGTGCAGGGGTGTTTATGTTTTATATATGTTTTATGTTTCTTTTTTGATGTTTCTCTCTGAGCCTAAAACTCCTTTTCCTGAGTGTCAGATGATGTTGTAAACCCCAAAGGGAAAGCGGGAATTTGTAAAGGTGTCCTTGGCACTACACAAGTGAAAATTAAACCACTGTATCACCAACTAAGGTGATGCACAGGAAGCCTCTGCAGAGCACAGGTGAGGGTGCTGGGGCACTGGCACAGGTTGCCCAGAGAAGCTGCGGCTGCCCCATCCCTGGAAGTGTTCAAATCCAAGCTGGAGCAACCTGGGCTAGTGGAAGGTGTTCCTGCCCACCCAAGGGGCGGGACTGGATGCGCTTTAAGGCCCCTTCCCACCCAAACCATCCCGTGGTTCTGTGATCCTCTGCAGCACCCCCAGGTAAGCAGAGCCCCTCCTTCCCCACGTCCCCCTCGGCACTCACGGATTTCAGCCTGGTGACCTTGCTGGCCAGGCTGTCGGCCATCCGCTTGTTCTCCACATCCAGCAGGTCCTCCATGGCGCTTGGACTCTGTCCTGGGGGTAAGAGGGAGGAGCACACGTTGTACCTGCCCCGGCATGGCACACGTGTGCAGCTGCCCGAGGGATCTCCGGCTGTCACAGCCCCGCCTCGCACCTCTGGAACCCTCCCAGATTGGTTTGGACAAAACCACCCCAAACTGACTGGGACAGGATCCCTGACTTGCCCCCTGAATTGCCACCATGGCCCAGCAGCAGCAGCAGCTTGGGGGCTTCGTGCCCAGGGACGACATCCAGGGATGAGATTTGGGTGAAGCCGGGCAAATCCAGGGCTCTTAACCCCTCATCCGTGTTGGGGTCTCCTGGCATTATGACCTGTTGTGGGGCAGTTGGGGGGGTCAAGAGGGGGACTA